TTCCCTTCCCCTCCCCACAACAGACACCCTGTGAGGTGGGTGGGGCTGAGAGAGCTCTGACACAAACTGCTCTTTTTCAAGGACAGCTGTGCCAGAGCTTGTGACTGACCCAAGGTCACATCAGCAGGTGCAAATGGAGGAGTGGGGAATCAAACCCGGTTCTCCCAGATTAGAGTCCGCGCACTTAACCACTACACAAAATTGGGGAAAGAAACAAGTGAAATCCTAGGAGGCAGAGTGTCTCAAGGCTCGCCTACTCTTTTGTCTCTGTGCTCGCACCTCAGCTCTACAAGCACAGATGAGCCAGTTCGGAAGCATTCCTTTCCACCAGCCCCCTCCTCTCAGTCTTGGGGAAGCACTGGGTTCTCCAAGAAGACAGCCAGCTTTCCCGCCACTGTGTCCAAGGCATTGGTGTTGGCGTACTTCAGCAGGTTGGTGTCTTTGAGGAAATAGTGTTTCAGGAAATGCTGGCTCACACATTTGTGCAGCTTCCGGACCAGTCGCAGGAAGGCTTTGCGGAAACAGCACCAGTCCTTGGAGCGAGGATACTTCTCACAAGTCCAGAAAAGCACCATCTGCAAAAGGTCACGGGAGTATTATTTCCCTGTTTATTCATTCATTTACAGAATTTACACTCCAATAGCACCTTCAAGAACAACAAGCTTTTCCAGGAACCAAGTTTGAGTCCAGTGGCACCTTTAAGACCAATTAGGGTTAATTCTTGCGCACCAAAGCTTATGTTGCTGTTGTTCACCATTCAGTCATGTTCAACTCTTGGCGATTCGATGGGCCAGCACTCTCCACGTTTTCCGATCTTGTGCTATTTCTTTGAGTCGTTCCATGCTCGGGCTGGAGTCGACTTTGATGGTGTCCAGCCACCGTGTTCTTTGGCGGCCTGGTTTCCTTTTGCCCCTAATTGATCCAAAAACCATTGCTTTTTCTAGTGAGTTCTTCCGCATGACATGGCTGAAATAAGCCAGTCGTAGCTTTGTGATTTTTCCTTCCAACGGCATGTCTGGTTTTATGTGCTCCAGTACTTGCTTGTTTGTCACCTCTGCAGTCCAAGGAATGTATAGGAGCCTTCTCCAGCACCATAGCTCAAATGAGTTAATTATACCCAGAATTAAAGCTGGTTGGTCTTCAAGGTGCCACTGGACTCAAACTTTGTTCTGTTGCTTCAGACCAGGGGTGACCAAACTGCGGCTTGGGAGCCACATGTGGCTCTTTTATAGATATTGTGTGGCTCCCAGCAGGCAGCTGGGGACGCTAAGGGAAGGCCTTCCTTCCTTCCTTCCTTCCTTCCTTCCTTCCTTCCTTTCCTCCTCATCTATTTACTTTCTTTCCATCTCTCTCCTTCCTTCCTCCCTCCCTCCTATTTGCTTTCTCTGTTTCTTTTTCTCTTTCTCTCTTTCTTTCCACCTCTTTCCTTCTTTCGTTTCACCTCTCTCTCTTCCTCTCTCTCTTAGACAAATAAATATCATTAGACAAATAAATATCATTAGACAAATAAATATCATTATCGATACCTGTTTTTACCCCTTTTGTTTTTATTTTTGGCAGTCTCACTTAATAAAAAGCAAATTTGCATATTTTTAATAAAAACACATGATATTTGTTCATGACTTGTGGCTCTCAAACATCTGACGTTTGTTCTACGTGGCTCTTATGTTGAGCAAGCTTGGCCACCCCTGCTTCAGACCAGCACGGCTACCCACCTGAATCAAGCTTTTCCAGGGTATAAACGTTCGAGAGTCAACAGGAGCATTGACTCTTGAAAGCTGATACCCTGCAAAATCTTGCTGGTCTTTGAGGTCTCATAAGATCTTGTCGGTCTTCAAGATACTCCTGTATTAGAATCTGGAGAGCTGCTGCCGGTTTGAGTAGACAATACTGACTTTGATAGGCCAAGGGTCTGATTCAGCATATGTGTTCATGTGACCTTTAGACCCTGTAGGATGCTGGCGTAGCTATCGTGCTCTTGCCAGGCAACAGGCAGACTGGAACAAGGCGTCAGCATCGGCACATCTTGAAGTGGGGCAGTCACCCACATACCTTTCCGACTGCCCACCTGTGCATCCTTTCCCTGATCTGTCAGCCATGGTCCTAACTGCATATAATGCCCAGCATTGCTGGGGAAGCTCATAGTACACAGCAGCAGCACCGAGACTGTCATGAGGCATGCACCGTCCAGGCATGGGGAAAGGGAATGTGGGCCATGGGAAGGCTCAAGAAGAGGGCTAGGGAAGGATGCACAAGCAGGTGGGCAGCAGCTGATAGTTCAGTTCCCTCTAGTTAAACAAAGCTACAAACACAGTGGAAGCGTGCTGGGCCCATAACCTATTTGGGTTAACTGGTGTGGTTAGTCCAGTTCCCACTAGTTAGGAGAATGCTTAAATAAAGCTACAAATGCAGCAGTGTCACTTTACCAGGTTACTCAGTTTACAGAGCTACACAGAGCCACGTGGCAAGTTTAGAAGAGAAATACTCCTCGCTTTATTTGAGAAATACACTTTTGGATAGGAAAGAGCAGAGACAGGATAGCATACTAACTTACTGGCAAAGGATGGAAGCAGATGGTGAGAGGGCCATCTGCCTCGTGGTGCTAAGGGAGGACTGCATGTTGTCTCTCTTGGTTTGTGCAGGGAGAGAGTTCATCATCATCCGAGAGAGTGAATGTAAGGAAGGAAGTTGTCCCTGAGAACTCAGTCTACATTTCAAAGGGGACAGTGGCAGAAGAGTAAACACAGGAAGGAAAGGTCAGTGTGCCTATCTACCTATCTAGTCTCTCTTGCCACAAAGTCTGGAGGCTGAGGCAGGGACAGGGCACCCGGAACTTACAACAGAAGCGGCACCCCCTCCCCCCTACTCTTGCACCCGTGACACACCTGGAATGTGCTGAATGGATGAAGTGTTCCCTACCTGCAGGTGAAAGGCCGTGAGGACAGGCCTGCTCCCCGTGCACCAAACGTTCTCCTTCATCTGCCTCATCACCCGGAAGCACATCCGGCGGCACCCGCCGTCTTCGTCGAGACCTTGCATCAGCACGTGCTCTGCTCGGGAAAAGCTCTGCTGCCAGTGGTAGTTGGAAGTGGCCAAGAGGTCAAAGCCGAAAGACTGTGGGTGAAGCAAGCAGAAAGTGTTGGGGGGGGGTGAGAGTGAGAAAAGGAAGGCCAGCAAGGGCTGGGATACCCTGATGCCAGAATTCGCACTAGGGAAGCGCCTCTGTAGAACAGTGTTCGCAGTCTGTCAGTCTGCCCACCCCAACCCAAAGGCCTTGGGTGGGTTCCAAGACTACGGAACAGATTCAAAAGCACCAAATGTATACTTAAAAATTTATGGGACAATGGTCCATTAACAGCACTTAGTGCTTGTCACTGAAGTCTGTCCAAGTTGGAAACTCGTACAGAGATGATGCTCAAACGTTGGCTTTTCTGATTCTCCATGCGCCTGAGGAATGGCTGCCAATGGCAGAGGACTCGAGTACTTTAATTAGCTTCTCTTCCCCTTGGAATGAGGGGCTGGGCAAAAGAGGGTGGAAATCTCTCACTACTACCTTCAGAGAAGCGTGAGAAAGAATCTGGAAGTGACCCTCTTCCCTTGGAGGAGTGATGGGAAAGATACCCTTTCCCCAGTCCCTGTCTCCAAGGAGGGGAGGGGTTGTGGCTCAGTGGCAGAGCATCTCCTTGGCATGCAGAAGGTCCCAGGTTCAATCCCCGGCATCTCCAGTTAAAAACTCAGTACAATTCCACAGAGCCCATAAAATGGAGTTGTTCCGGCAGGCCTTCGGTTGAGGGTACAGATGTCAAATTACATCGGTCTCCCCTGCCCTACTCCACCTCAGCTTGTCTTGCGCTGTGCACTTTAATCGTTCCATTGATAGACATTTTACCCGCCTTCTGGTAGGTCAGCCCTTGGGCACATATACAGCATATACCATGGAGCTTGTTTATTTGCTCACCATCATGTACTGTATTATGGGTTTTGTAGTTCTTAAATTGTATGCACTGTGTATTTTAACTGTTTACCCACTTGTTGTGATCCGCCCTGAGCCCGCTGGTGTGGGAGGGCAGGATAGAAATCTCAGAAATAATTTTTAAAAATGAAATAAAGGGTGTATTCAGACAGGCAGCTAATCCCACCATTATGCCGGCTCAAATTTGATCCCGATCTTTTAAATCTGTCCTCTCATGACTAGAAATCCCCTGTGGATTGTTTAGACGGCATCCACTGAAGGAGGCACACACGGTGGCTTAAAAAAAAAACCTTTCTGCGCATGCGCATAGGCGTCATATGGCGGCCTTGTTTATCTGCGCATGTGCAGAATTAAGATTTTTTTTTAATGGTGCCCGTTCAGAATGGTCTGATGTCAGACCATCCCGCACGGGCACCATTTTTTAATTGCGCGCTAGAATGATCAGACGGGGCAGGTCCGCGATTGGCCTGTCGGAACTGAAAACTCCAGATTTTAACAAATACCTTTTTAGTATGGCTCCGAAGCACGGCAAAACGGGGTGCTCATGGAAGACGAACATTTCCCAGATGTTGATGTCTGGACATTACATTTAAATCCATGAGGCATTTGTGCCTCGCACGGATCTAAAGAGCCGTCTGAACGCACCCAAAAAGGACCAGGCAGTAGGTGATGTGAAAGACCTTGGGGAGCCACTGCCCGTCTGAGTAGACAATACTGAGCCTGATGGGCCGATGGTCTGGTTCTGAATAAGGCAGCTTCATAAGAGGAAGGTTTGAAACTGGGACAAACGTCTATTTATAGGGGATGTGGTGCAGGTCTCCACCACCAAGGCTCTGGTCCCTTTTTAAAAAAAAGAAGGGTGGGGGGGATGAAATCTCTGGGGGCAATGCACATATTGGTAAGGACCACTGTGGCAATCAACCTTAAAAGTCCCGCCTCTCCTCCAGGCCTCTGGCCCAATCCTTGTGATTTAGGCCTTATTGCCAGCCAATCAGAGCCCATGGAACTCCACCGGGGGGGGGGTGAGCCAGCCTCAGCCATAAGAAGGGGGGGAAGAAGAAACGTTTTTCTTTTTGGGGGGGATTCCGGGGCCCTGGAAAGGAG